GATGTCATGTCATGTGGAACGAAATGAACTTGATTTGAAGCCATGCTCGATTGGTATTTGCCACTACAGCTGGTTCAAGCTCAAAAGTTTTCCTATTTAACTCCGGCTGGAATCCCGGAAAGAAGACCCCCCTTTTTTGGGCTCACAATTCCGTTTTAAAATACTTGTGCTTAAGGCCATTGGCTGTCGTCGTAATCTGACTTAGACAGTAGTGCACTTCAAGTCCTTTTAATGCACTAAGCTGCGGTTCGCAGTGGAAGCTCTTAAGCCGATTACTTTCGATACTGTATTGTGAAGCCACATATTCTGCAGTTATTGGCCAATTAAAGAGATATCGATTAAAATCCTCATCACGCAGATTTTACTTCTTATGCAACAACCAAGGATTAAATTCTAATAAAAGGCTTAAAAGAGGTTATGAACTTTAAATATAAAACATTAGTAAATTCATGCCAGTATTTTTGCTAATAAACTTAGGTAAGCTGACTGAATGAAAACCAAACCCATTTCAATTTAGAAAGTTCCACTCTCTTCATACTCGCACAAACAACACGGAATGTATATCAATTGCAATCAATCAGAAAGGGAAAAGCATTGAGGACTCGCCTCCATTCAAATGGAGAGACAGTGAAAGTGAAAGTGAAAGTAAAAGCGGAGCCGGGATTTCATTTTCCACTTTTACAGCAGCACTCTCCAGCTGCCAATAACTCGAGTAGTCAGTAGTAAACTTCACTTTGTTGCAGAACTTCTGCCAACTAAGGCTGAGCACCTGGTTAGTGCCGAATTCGTGCACTTTTTATTAGAGGAATGTTTGCTTTCATCCCAGCAGCAATCATTCGAAACTAAATGAAATGACTTCAAGTGGAATGAAATGAGTTGGGAGGCACGCTTGATTGCATTCCGGCCATTCTTTTGACCTCTTAAAGTTGCTCATCAAACTCTTGAACTACATTTTAAATTAGTCGTGCCTAATGCCACTGTCTGTCTGCTGGAAATGGCTGACTGGCATTTGCGGAGAGATCCCAAATCAATTTTCTACTGCAAAGTGCAATTTTGAAAGAAAGCTTCTAAGCCGATTAGCGCCAATAGCGAACAACTAAGCTGTTTGAACAGGTACCTGTTCTGCGAAGTTACATGCTGGCAAACTAATTGTTGCTAAATAATGCAGTTTTCCTGGCCAGCAGCTTTATCAAAAAGGCGGAGCTAAGAGGATTGTCAATAGAGAATTTTAAATGATTTCTGCCTCGATTAGGTGGTGAATAGAGCGAAGTTAAAGTAAGCATATACAACCAATCCAAGCCTAAGGTCCAATGACCTAGAACTTTTGGCTCGGAGACTCTTTAACTTTACGTTCACCTGTTTTCAGTTTTTTGCACATTTAAAAGGACACACCCACGAGGATAGGCCAGGACATGTGCTGCTATTAAAAATTATTTTCCTTTGCGCATTTCTGAGGGCGCACGGCAAAGTATTTTACGATTCGAAACGTGCAAATGGGCAGCCAGCCGGAGTCGAAGTCGAAGTCGGAGTCGAAGTTCCTATGAAAGCCATTCCCTTGGACGCAGCACACCCGTATGTGTGGCTGATATTCCGTACGTGCACCCACCACATGAACCCATAAATATGTATTGATTTTCCATTCTCCTTATCGCCGGCTGAAGAAACTGGGGAAAGTCCTCGAGTCGCTGGAGCTTCAGCGGCAACAATGGCACGAGCTCCAAGACAGAGTTATGATTATGAAAGTTTTTTAATGCGGCGCAAAGGGGGCAGCCCACGAAATGGAAAATAAATGCGAGAAATTTGCCGCAATTTGCGACGCCCTGGAGAGTCACTGAACCGCAAAGCTGCAGAAATGTTGTTTATCAAATATTTATCGCATTCGCATACCGCATTTCGCTGGCAAATTGCAGCCAGACATGCAAATGGCGAAGCAATGCAGGCAAATACAAAAGAAGCTCTACATTTTTGCAGTTTCGCCAGTTTCGCCAGCTTCAGTTTATCATCAGAATTGAGAAATTGCCCGTAATCCGAGTGAGACATGTCTACATCACGAGTTCATTAATTCCGCCTGAAAATAGAAAATAAACTGTGCGTAGTACTACTCCCCGAATTTAGTAGAACCCATATGCTTCAGCTCCATTTGGTCTGACTAATGGGCTAAATGCGCCCCATTCTGCTGCCAGTGGCATGTGTGCCGAAAGTTGTGCAAAACGCTCATAACAAATGTGTTAGATGTGCGGAAATTTGTCAAGAGCATTTGCCACAACAAAACACGCGACTTACCACATGTGTGGCATTCCGTTCGCCTGAGTTTGTATCAAAAACATGAACTCTGGATCACAACGGAATCGTTTCGTGTGCAGAGAAATTATATAAATATTATAAACAAAACCAGCTACAAATATTCCTTCTAATTTATTGATGGAATATGTTTGTTTGGCAAAAGATTTATAACAGCATCGCAACAAGGAATTTCCCTTTTCTGGAAATAACAGAGAAATTCTCTATTTAAACTTTGATGTTTTGTGTGTTTTAATAATAGGGATTGGTACCATTCAGAATGAATATTTTTCCCCGTGCAGCCACAATGAAAACTCCAATTTATAAACTAACCGAATATTACGTACACAATCTTCACGGCTGAGTTATTTGCGGAGTAATTATGGCCAGCACAATAACGAAATGTCATTTCAGTTGCAGCGCTGGGCAGCTGAAAACGTGGCCAACGGCACTGGCCGGCCAATTAAAACTGCCAAAAACTAATGCCACCGCAAAACTACGGTTTCCAGTTTTATGGCAGCGAACTGCCCGCGAAAGATACACTTGAATTGTTCTACAATGTGCCAGTGAAATCGAGTGACTGTAATTGCGCAAAATTGAGATGTGAAATCCCCTGGACCAAATGAAAACCATCGGGCGATTCCCCATGTTTTTCGCATTGGTTGCATCGAAACTTATTACCAAACAAATGGGCAACAGCTGCCGCGGCTTAAATCGGCTTATGAACTTTGGGGCCGCTAAGCCTTTTAGGCCTAATTGTAAAGGACACTTGAGAGGCAAAAAGGACTGCCGTGCCCGCATCAAAGGCAGTATTTTTTTAATATTTTAATTGGAAAAAGGCAAATTAAAATTGTCGCCAACAGCAAGGGAAACATAATTTAATATTGCCCAACTGCGTGGGTGCCATTTGAAAGGGTTAATCAGCAGTGGTTAAAAGATATAGGCCATCTGTTCCTAAACATTATCTTGCTTTGGTGCTAAAAGCTATCAGATAAACAAAAGTATGGAAATTTGTGCAACATTATTGGTTTACTGGATTACAGATATCGAGATAAATAGAAGCCGCTAATTCCTTATCTTTAAAAGCTTTATCAGGTTTTGTCACAGCCTCCAAACTCATTTAAGCTTTAACTGCCAGACAAAAAAGTCTTTGCGGTTTGGTGGTATTTTACTTGGAAGCAGAAACAGATTTCTGCGGCGAAACATTAATAAATCATCAGAAAAAGTGAAACTAAGGAGGATTTTTGTGTTCTCGCGTCCCTTTTGCCATTTCATCTCGGAATAATTAAAGCAAACAGAAATGAATTTGTGCACGTGCTGCGTTTAAGAAATTGCTTTTTCTACGTTCCACGTTCTCTGGGGCGCTCTTGACTTAGCCGCCTTTTCTGGCCTTTTATGTTTTGGCTGGTATTTCCTTTTGGCCAACCCCTATACAGTCATTCCTTTTTTTTTTAATTTTCGCCCGAGTTTGCACAAGTTGCCCCATGCCATTTGTTGCTGGATTTTGTGTCAACAGCACAAAGCCGCACACATCGCCAACAGTTGCCCCATTCCATTATTCCATTCCGCCTTTATGTTGTGCAACGCAATCCAAGACAATAGTTGCACGAACTTAGCGTGCATGTATGTATGTATGTATGTATGTGGCACTGCAGGACGCAACTCCTTGCGGGCATTCATATCTGCCAGTCGGTCTCTTGGGACCTAATACGAGTATGCCCCGCCTGTTCTTTGTTCTTCCGCCAGTTGGCGAAACAATGAAACGCAAAGCGGAAAAGTTTACAATTAGCTTGTCAACAATGGCCCGGCGTACGCGGCGTATGCGTGATGTGCTGGCAGTGAACCCTCCATTCTGCAATGTTTTCGGGAAATATTCATAGCTGCAACCGGGCAGCTTGGAGCTTTTCAATTGGAATCCAAGCAGCAAAGTCGCTAGCTTGCTTCACATAGAAAAAACCAAGCGCTGTGCAATTACTCTCAAATATTTCCACTACACCTCGACGATTAATACAAGCCGCATGCAACTTAGTGAACGCCCCTGGCCGACAGCCAAATGAAGACCCAAAATAATTCCGAAATTATTTTGGTAAATGTTCTCCATGCCAAGCTTAAAATCTTTTTGCATATTTTATGCGAGCACCCCGAGCCAGTGAAGGGGAAAATAGTGATGTAATAAAAAGTGCGAAGTAAGCGGGTGAAAGGGGACAAGGGGTTAAGTACCACAGGCAACATGTTGCCGGAAGTGTTGGCCCGCTATTTACACGGGCAAAGTTGTACGCTTTCCTCGGCGGAAAAGACTTTCCCAAAAATTCGTGTGTGTGCGCTTGTCGAGGAAAAGTTTTCCAGCACAAAGGGGTTAAGTGCAGAGCCCCGTATTAGGAATTGTGAAAGTTATGGCTGCTTCGGAAAGTGCATATACCAAACATGATATTTAAGCCTTGCGGTCTATTTTCAAATTGCTTTTCCAATTGTATAAGCTACTGTAGATACTATCAATTCTGGTAGGTAGGACAAAAAATCCCCTATATTTTATGAATAATTACACACGCCTAGATCATTTAAATCTATTTAAGTACCTGAACAAAGCTATTCGGTGTCAGTTCGTGATCGAAGCTCGGATGAAAAATAACTCTAAATTTTAGTCTCGCGTTGCCTGTGTAGCAAACAAAATCAGCAGAGCGAAAAGTCAGCTTGGGATGTACTTAATTTTATAATTTCGATGGAAACGATATATACATACATATGCCAAAAATATTGTCAAGGCTGAAAAATTATTACCATAATTTGGGATCGTAAAGCTAAAACTATTAACAAACCAAAATTATATAATGCTGTGATCGATGAAGTACAGTGAGCTAAGTGCATCAGTTTAAGCAAACCAAATTTAGCAATCTCAAACAAAATGGTGGAGAAGGCATATTTGGCCCAACTCAAGAGTTTGGAATGGGGGCGTTTGTTCAACATGTTCTATATAGAACCGGTGATTTTCATGCTGATATTTTCGCACATGCTGTCAGGTGAGCGGAACATCCGAATAAAGTGATAAGCCCTCAGCACGATATTCCCATTAGGTACTGTCATGCGCAATCAGTTGATTTACCAGACCTGCACGGTGATATATCAGTACAATGAAACCGACTGCAAACTCTTGGATAGCAAAAACACCACCGCAGAAATACAAGTTCGTAGTATTGGTTGGTTATTAAGCTGGCTTCTCTTAAACCTGCAACTTTTAGGCCATTGAGACGGAGCTTCAGGCATACGTGGCCAACATGTTCCTGACCCGCACCCTCTTCGAAAGTATCGTGCCTGCCATATGTGGCCTATTCATTGGATCCTGGTCGGATCATTATGGACGCAAGCCCCTGCTGATTGTCTCCATGGTGGGTGAGTTTCTTTAGGAATTCCATTTAATGCAAAAGCAAGAGCAGTAAGGCGTTTTCCCACTAGGCTTTTCTGCCTCTGCCCTGCTCTCGTCCGTCATCTGCTGGCTGTCCAGCTACTATATGGTCAATCCCTGGTGGTACACCTTGGCAGCCGTGCCACACTCGTTGCTCGGAGGATTGTGTGTCTTTTCTGTGGCAGCCTTCTGCTTTATCACGGACACCACGGACATGAGGACCAGGCCCTACAGGTGAGTGCCACCTGAGCCGCAGTTAACGTGGAACCTTATTTTCTTGTTTGCATTTCTCAGAATGATCTTCATGGAGTTCATACTCTTTGTGGCCCTCACGAGTGGCTCGTTATTATCCAGTTTTGTTTATGCCGCCACAAGTGCTGCCTTTGTACAGAGTCTCTCCTGTTCGATAGTTGTTATGGCAACACTATTTATAATCTTCTACTTGCCCGAAAGTCTGGGAATGTGTCCAGATAAGGACGAAGCACCTGAAAAAGAACAGGAAGTCGTAGTCACAGTTTCGGATCAGAAAATCAATGAAATTCCAACTGAGAATTCCGTCGAGAAGCGTGATGATCCGCCCAAATACGAGTCAATAGAGAAGCCTCCTTTGGAGGAGCAAGTTGAAAGAACTGGTTTGTTCAACATTAAACACGTGAAGGACATGTTTAGCACCTGCTTTAAGAGGAGGGAAAACAATGCTCACACCATTATTTGGCTGGTTACTTTGGCCGGCTTTGTCTCCATTTTTGTTGCCGGTAAGTCTGGGTAAGTTTTTCTGGGAATTCCCATCATTTGATGTGCTGATATGCTTGCAGATGGCGTCATGACTGTAATGTACTTGTTCGTGCGCCAACAGTTTCATTTCACAGTGCGTGAGTTTACTATTTTTGAGACTGTCAGTCAATCAGTTCCCATGTTGGGAGCTATTTTGGGTATTCTTATTTTGAGAAAGGTATTTCGAGCTGAGTATTACATTGAATATTGCCTACATATTTCCTTGTATGCCCAGCTTTTTGGACTGTCTGTGGTCACACTGGCGTTACTCTCTCTCTTTTCGGAAATAGTTAGCAATATTGGCAGAGGATTGGCCTATCTGCCTTGGCACCTGTACGTATCTGTCTTCCTAGGAATCTTTCGCTCCATTCAGGGACCCATGTGCCGCACGATTGTATCGAATATAGTTCCATCCTCCGACACTGGTAAGTGATAGTTAGAACTGCACAACACGCACTTTAATGGCTTTATAATCATTGCAGGTAAACTGTTTGCCATCGGCAACATCGTACAATCCTTCGCCCCCTTTGGTAAGACCCCTTGAAATCCACTGGATATTTGCCCCATCCATCACGTTTCACTTCCAGTCGCCGCTCCTCTTTACACGGCCATCTATAAGAACTCCCTGACCAGCAATCCTGGAGGATTTAATTTCCTCAGCGCCGCCTTCTACTTAATAGCGTTCATCCTGATCGGGTGAGTAAGGCGGCTATCCATTGCCTCGCTAAATGATTTTGAATAAATTTGTTGCAGCTGTGTGATGCGAATTAAATTCAAGCACCGAAAGTTCTACGCCAAGACGCTCAAATAGCCAAGTAAACTGAATTTCCATCAATATTGATTGTGGCAAGTTTGCCAACTTTGCAGAGCTTTGTTTATGCTTAAGTCGAAAACTTTGTGTGGACAGCATTAAATAACTGGGTTTGTGTGAAGCACTACTCTGTATTCAGCTAATTTAATTTGCATACCGCAAGGGAATTATCTGCCGATTGAAAATACATCATGTTGAAGGATTAACCAACGTTCGTTGCCATTTAAACTAATCGAATTTCAGAATGTCATGTTCTCCACAGTCAACAATTTATCGAACCATTCTATTACATGAACTGAACACAAGTGACTACTTTGCCATGCACTTCCATCGAAATTGGACCTAATTGCCATGTGCCATGTGAAATGCTTTGTTGCGGTTATTATTTCTGGTCCAGGGTCCTTGTTGTTTTGTTGTTTCTGCTGCAGGCACATGGGGCATGCCTTATGCATGAGCTTTTAATAGTGCATAATTTATGGGGCAAAGTTTGCGCAACATATTCGCAAAGTTCAAACATATTCGGGAATCGTTTGGATTCATTTGGACTCGTTGTGACTTTGGCACGTACCGCATGAATTCGTAATGTGGCCAATGTCAAAAGTTCACAGAACACACAATTCGCAGCAATTTGAATTGTTAAACGCCAGCCCTCGCTGATTAAATATTAAATTTCGACTCTACTATGCGCACAAAGGTGGGTCGTATGTCACTTGTCTTTTGGGGGGCCCCTCGTGGCCACATGCAAACCCCGGCAATCAGTATCGGGTTAACTTAACCCCGCGCGAGCAGCAGGGATCGGCGAACCGAAACCGAGTCATCAAATCACAGTCTTGTCTGTGGAAACCATTTGTCGTGCGGCATTTAAGTCGAGGGTGCTCGGAAAACGCTTTAATGCCGCCGCGCGTGCACCATAAACGAATTCGCAGGACATGAACTTTGCACTTGCACTCGAAGCCCTCGAACACGCCAACCTAATGGAGATGTCTTTGTTTTTGCCACGGGGTGGGAAACTCTGATGCGGATGCATGGGCTGCCAGCTGTTAACCGTTCAGCATTTCCGCTCTTTTCCGCGTCACAAACACTGATGGAAAAGTGTCAACAAAATATGCACAAAGAACGGAAATTGATTTGTTGGCACAAAAAGTGTGCCAGATAAATCGTTAAAAAACTGTAAGAGTAGCGATCGCAAAGTGGAAGAATAGGGAAAATTACATTTTCATTGAATAATTGTATAGGTGTTAGATTTATTGTATTTTCACAGAGATGTGGCACAGTGGCTACTAGTCCAAGACGCTGTCCAGTTGAACAGCCCGATAAGATGCATATATAACTTCAAACAGGGACAACAAAGCGGCGACCACTTCCGGTGGCGATGATTGATTGAAGTCGCAAGGCAGCTGAGGCTGGTCCACACGGCGCATACGTAATCGCTTATTAAACAAAACGAATTATGAGCTGCCAGCGGGCCAAACGACATGCAAGTGTTGACGAAGGTCAAGTTTAGCTTTTGCCAAGCGTTGGTTTTGCCCAACAACAGACGTCAAAAGAGCAAAAGAGCAGTGGGAAACGTAAGTCCTTACGTTATCACGTAGAGGGACACGGACATTTTCGCTCTCATTTTCCTTCGTGAGCTATAAAGCCCGAGAGCGCGCCCGAAGTCGGGTTAGTTTGCTGAAGACTTCCACACGATACGGTCGCCAGATTTTGCGGGCTTTTCCGACTTCGCTTATCGTCGCGCACTCGCCTCATTTTCCGTAGCACGCTTATCAGCGCAAGAACGCGTCGCGTGGAAATGCCGTCGGTGGAAAGGCAGTTGGCATAATTCGTTGCCTACTTCAGGGCGCTGCAGCATATCAACTGGAATTTTTCCGACAGCCCATTAATCAGGATACCGCACACCTGCACTGCTGCAAACAACCATGTTTTGGATTTTACGGCGCACCGGTGCCGCCAACTTCTTCAACTCCTTCAACAACAACTGCAGCTTTTCAAAGAGCAACTCGAGCGGCGGTAATCACAGCAACAGCACACAAGGTTAGTTCCCACACCTGAACCATCAATTAGTCCAGTTTGCTGCAAAAGTCCGCCCTCAATTAGGATAATTTATCAATAATTAGCGGACTAATCGGGCTAAGTCGCAAACTTGTGCGTAAGTCTGCTGCACTGATATTAAGTTGGGGAGTGTAATAGTTGGTAAACTAGCAAAGGTGTCTAAAGATCAGTAATTGCATCCTATAGAAATCAACGAAGTTGTAATTTGAATTTCAATCGAGAGTTCGATTCCATTTGTATGTACTACCTTGCACTCTGGTTGGCTGAAACGCAACTCGAATCACTTAAAATTGATTGACTTCAAATTGTCAGCTCGCTTCATTGCTGTAATCAATTAAATTACAATATGACATCCATGAAAATTACGCAGATCATAGACTAAAGCACAAAATCCAACTTCCTTTGACAGAGAAGATTGCTGCGGACGATTAAAGCCAACAGGATCAAGATGACAATCTTGACTACCCGCAGACATATCTACATTTTCCAAGAAGGACTTTCAACAAGTCAATTGCCCCTCAACTGCCTAGGTGCATTTCACGATTTCCTTGATTTGCCATGCCAGACATGTATCAGTTCAGGCCCGGGTTTCATTCATAAGCCAAACACTCGCTCGTTATCAAAACAAGTTAATTAAAATTCCCGAAATGACTTGTGGAGTATAGGCCCCAAATAAATGTATATTGTGCCTCCCTGCACACTGCCATTGTTTGCCGTTATCTGTGCCGTATGGAAAAGTGGGAAAAGTGGGAAAAGCCTGGGCGAGCAATTGGGGGAAACGAGGCAAAGTAAATAACATCGAGATCCTACAACCCACGCAATAATGAGGCTCTGCACGTGTGAGCCAAGCTGAAAACGTGGTGCGGATGTGACTGTCGAGAAGAAAACACTTTGGGCTTTCGGCCCCAAGATGCTTTTGTCTAAGCGCTAAGTCTCGCACCCTGCAAAAATTGCTGGGGGATAAAAACGGATGGTTCTGGGCGGATTTCGCTCAAGGCTGGTAATTGAAATTTTTAGTTGCTTTTGCTGACTTTGTCGCGCGAATTCAAAGTTTGTGCAATTTTATTTTAAGCATCAATAGGTTTTTAGATGCCCAGACCCGATTTACATGAATATTTCACAAGCCACCTGCGTATAATAACCGACCATAAATAAATTACGGCTTTTTGCTGAATCTCAATCCGTTTTTTATTTAAAAATAATTAGCGAATGTTCGCAAAGCTAATTAAAAGCAAGCATGGGTAATATGCAATCAAAATGTTAATCAGAAATTTTTAATTATGTTTACCAACTTTCTTTGTTTTGGCCGCGACAGGATAGTTTTTGGCTGTATTGATTTTCCCTGATTGAATTTGCTTTCGCAAACTGCAAACTCTCACTTATTTGTACGTATAATTATGTTTGAAAAATGCAGAGTATATAAATCTGCTGTTTGCTTAAGGGAACAGCTGTGGCATATAAACTTACTTAAAGGGCTTCTTGCATTTGATTTACTACTGCCAGCAGCTGTTGCCCAGAAGAAAAACAAGTTGACTTCAGCTTCAGCCACCCACTTTTCACCAACTCATCTAGAATTCTCGCCTTGACGGAGAAAAACAAGTAATATTTAATGAATTTCCCAAGATAAATGCGTTAAAATGGATATGTAAACAATGTGCTTAATGTCAGGAATATAATTGAAAGCTTTTTCACACATCGCAAATTGCCATTACTCACTTTGCAAATTCGCAAGCATTTATGACATTAATAGCAATGACAATTTTTCCAATCAGACGTGCCAGGCGCGAAATTTAATCGTAAACAATTTAATTTGCCAACTCGCACAAGTGACAACAAACAGAAACAAGACGACGCCCTTAAGCTTTTGTCAACATATGTACTGTTGTTCGCCCACGCGGCGGAAAAGGGGGCGTGGCCGAGATTTATGTGCGTTATGCAAATCATGGGCAACATATGGCCGCGGCATTAAGCGATAATTATGACAGCCATTTGTCATTGATAATAATGCGTTTGTGCATTCAATTTGGAAAATTGTAAAACAAGCAATGGCAATTAGCCTGGGCATGTGGCTATGGGTCCATGTCTGGTGTCCACATACAGATATCATCCTACAAATGATGATTAATGGGAAAACTGCTTACTGGCAGCGGTTTTTCTTGTATCACAAGCTATGGAAGAACCTGAATGAGATGCCTTGTTTATTTGCCCAAAATACAAACAATAGTGAGATTAGTTAAGAAATATATGTAAGAGTAAATTATAAAAAGTAGGTTTGAAACACCTTTTGGCCCAACAATCATATGCCTTTAAAATATTTATCGTATGCTCACATTATTATTTTGCACACAGCTGTTTTTCCTGCCAATTAGCCGAAGGTCCTGCGGAATATTTGTTTTGATTTTCGGTCCTTTTTTGCAGCTCTGTTTGCTTTTTGGTTTTTGGTTTTCTATGCTCTGCTCACTGGCCATCAAATGTGGCTCACTTTGGCTGCCGGCATCATTAGTTCGTGCCTTTGGTCAGACATCAGAAATAATACAAATAACAAAACAGCGGGGCAAACAAAATGTATCATAAATAATGGTTGGCATCGAAAACGAGTGTGTATCCTAAGCGCAGCATGAGGAGAATTATTAGGCATTTATCTGGCGTATTAATATCGCCGGTCCTGTCGGCACTCTATGCTTTTCCAGCTTTTCCAGTTTTTCCGAGCCATGATTTATATTTTTTTGCCGCCGGGCGGCATCATTTGTAATAATTTGTGCTGTAATTCTAAAGTAAAATCGAGAGAAACTTTTATCTCTTGCGATTACGAGTCCGGGGCAAACTTAAAGCCCGTAGTCATAAATTTCCATCCAAGTCGCAGGCCAGAAAATGTTTGCCGCTCTGCGGTCCACAATTTGACGATAAAATTGAGTTTTAGATCGCCTCACAGTCTGCCGCCTTTTCGACGGCAATCTCGGCCGACTTTCCAGCAGTTTTTCACTCCGTTCGTCATATCCTGCGAATGTTTGCTCCCCATATGCGTTTTTTATTTCCATTTTTCGACACACTTTTACTTTTAATATTCATGTTCGT